GCCATTATCATCATCATTATCATCGCTAATATTAAATTATCAGGAAATATGTGCAAAGAAAGAACTAACTGTCCGCCCGTTCGCCCGTCACATTATCTGTCACATTACGGTTAGTGAGGCGATTGCTTGGCTGATAGTTTAAGTTAATAGATTATCCTTTTTTGTTTTTGTTTTCAATGTTGTGATTCTTCTTCTTCTTTTTTTTTTTTGTTTTTTTCATAGCATTTCCCCGTATTTGTGCGAGCATTCAATGATTTTTGTGCCTTTCGAAGTAAATTCAAAACAACGCTTATAAGCATTTATATCTTGATAGCCGAGACGGGGGAGCAGGGAGCAAAGTTACGTGAATGATTCAAAATTAAATTGTAGACGCGCCACGCTATTTATTGATATTAATTTTGTCGAGCCAACGCAAAAAGACAGACAGACCACGTTTCTAGGATCATTTTATCCCAATTTCTTTTTGTACGGATCGTGCAGGCAGGAAGAAGAAAGCGGACAAGTTTTGTATGTTTGCATATATTTCAAGTGATAGCTTCAAGCTTGCCTAGCACCAAACTCAAATTATTATTTATCGTGTACGTGCGTGTGCTTGTGCGTTTCTTGTATATGTATTCTGCGTCTTTGACTGTGTCTGTGTCTGTGTGCGTGTGTTTCCTTCACGTAAAAATTTTTCACGTTTTATTCCTTTGCTTTTGTATCGACAAGGTAGACATTTAAAAAAAAAAAAAAAAAAAAAAAAAAACAGCGGGAATGATTTCTGCAGACTGCATACAAAAGCATAATAACGTTGAAATTGTTGTTATTGCAAACATTCATAAGTCAAAATATTGGAATCATAAATATTTTCTGTTATTTTCTTTAGTTTTTTTTTTTTCTCTCTTTTTACTCAAGTTTTTCTCCCGCAAGAATATCGATTGCTCTTGTGCATGATTGTCGTCGGTTCTGGAGGTTGTTTTTGTTTTTGTTTTTTTTTTTTTTTTTTGTTTTCTTTTCTAATTAATTAATATGAAAAATAAAAATAAAAAAAAAAAAAAAAAAAAAAAAAAAAAACAAAACAAACAACATAAAAAAAAAAAAAAAAAAACAAAAAAGGAAACAAAAAGATTATCTACAGATGACTCGTCGATATTGATCGTTTAGTGTTTGAGAGCCTTTTTACTTTTTAAAGCACTTGTTGACTTTTTGGCAGAATGTTTTTTAACTTTGTTTTTGGACTCACGTGCAGCACGTCTTGCTTCAATGACATCGTCGCCGATAATGTCATCATCGTCATCATCTTCATCATCGTCGTCATCGTCGGTATCATCGTCATCGCCTGTCAGAGCACCTGTAATTTCATCGACTCCATCATCAATATCGTCATCATCATCATCATCATCATCATCATCATCATCATCACCATAATTATCATTGCCCTTATCATTGCCAGTGCCTTTAACAATAGCGTTGGTGACAGTTGCTCCGAGATTATTATTAGTAGAAGCAGATAGCTGAGCGATTTGTTTGTTACCTGTCGCCAACCCATTCGTCGAAGGTTTCTGACCATAATACGGACCTTGATTTGGGTTAATTTTATTTATTTTGAGTTTAGTACCGTTAGCACCGTAATGAGAAGATATAGTTGATGTAGTGGCGGTTGTTCTTGTAGTTTTTGTTATTATGGATGGTATTTTTAGCAATTGATTATGATTTTTATGATTATGATTATTTTGATTATTATTAGATTCTGCAATGAGTTGCTGTTGGACTTGTTGTAGTTGTGTATTAAGATGAATCTGTTCATTATTACTAGCGCTACTACTACTAATGTTGGTCATGCTATTAATATTGTTACCGCTATTACCGCTATGGCTACTACTACCGCTACCGGCTTCAACTACGATATGATTAATAGTATCTTGATGATAAAAGATATTTTCTTCACCTTCGTTGTTAATTGAAGTTAAAGGCGCTACATTCGGATCGATACTATTGTCTGTAGCAATCGTTTCAACCGCATTGCCGCTCTCCGCTGGCAAATCTACACCATCTGATAGAGCAGCGGAAGTAATTTGCGAAGGCGATGATAAATCTTCAACAGGATTAATCGGGGCAACTACAGGGCGCTGTACATTAGCGACTGGACTGACAATATCATCATCATCGTCATCATCGTCATCTTCTTCTGCATACAAAATAATATGTAAAATGTTTAATTCGATATCATTGTCCATGGCTACGGGTCTTATCATGCTTACCACCCAAAATATCATCGAATAATCTATCTAGATAATCATCGTCGTCGTCGTCCTCATCGTCATCATCATCGGATGTGGCAGCAGCTGGGGCGGCTTGTCCTTGAGGTCTATCGTCTTCTTCATCATCGTCGTCGTCTTCCTCATCGTCATCATCATCATCTGAAAGCCCCGAAACAAAGACAACTGTTATTGATGCATGTAATGAAAGCAACATGAAAATGAAAAGCAAAAAAGAAACAATTTTAACGTCAGTTCTCTTGATTGTGAAATTAACGCTTGGAAAACAATCATTTGTGCGAGGAATTGTTGTGCGACGGTGAGATATTCAGTGCTGGATATGAAGGTTGTTCAAAACATCAGACGGCATTCAAGTCGAGTTATATACATATATATATATATTTATAACATAACTGTAATTGTAACTGTAATTGGAATATCGTAACGTTTACACACACACGTATACGAATATGAATAAAAAGAAATAATAAAAACTTAACGAATAATTATTAGAAGAATATATTCAAAGTGCTTATAAGATGGTGATGGTGATAGTGCTTGAGTACACCTCTTCACATAGAAGGGGAAGACAAAATTATGCAATTCAGTCCTTTTCACAATAAAATTAAGAAAAATTAACGGGAAAATTAAAAATAAAAAGCAAGAAAAATTCTAACAATTATTGTTAGTGAAGTGAAAAACAATAGAATACCTTACCATCATCATCTTCCACGAGTTCACCTAAATCGGGTCCATAATCATCATCGTCTTCGTCATCGTCATCATCGTCATCTTCGTCGACAGCTTGTACGGCAGGTGCAACACCTGCACTTTGCTGACGGGCCAAGGCACGCTCCTGTCTTTCGCCTAATTTAATTGGGGAAGCGACTGTTTGATGCACCAGCAACACACTTAACACACAAAGCAAAATGGCAAATTTCATGTTGATCTGCAAGAAAACAGATTACAATTGAAGACAAGTTCAATAAACCGCAGGAAATATGTATGTAATACTGCGTTAAATACAATTCTTCAAATTGTTTTAACCACAAACAGGCATAACAACGAATGTCGACAGCTAAGATTGGAATTCTTAAAGCGGTCCATTCCATATTATGAACAATTGTGAGACAATTATGATTCGCTCTCCTCCCCTTAAATTAACTAATCCATGCTCCCAACTTAAAAAAGTAAATATAAGCCAAGCAGTGCATATAAAAAAACCAATAATATTTCTCAGTATTATGTTTTTAAGGCCTTATGAGATCATCGGGTGCAATTGAAAATGCTCTCAGCGTCAAAACTTTTAACGGAAACGTAATACTTTTAAAAAATAAATATTTAGGTTAAAATCGCAGCAATAATAAATGAACAAAAACTTTACCTAAAATATATATATATATATATATATATCTATATATATATATATATATACAATATACAAATATTTATAGAAATAAAATGTAATAAAATAAAAGAAAAAACAAAAAAAAAGAAAAACCCATCGACCTGAAAACTTTTACTTTTTTGTCATCAAAATTACGCATACATAGAAACGCGTAAGCGTCGAAATTTCACTTTGTTTTCCTTAAGGTAGCCAAAATCATCACAAGTAGTAAATAACTTTCTTTTCATGGACACACAGTCAAAAACGGTAATAACAATATCGACAACGATAGGAATAACGGCAGCAGCAACAGCATTAGCAGCAGACAGCAGCAAAGAGACAAAACTCGAAATGACTTTTTCTATGCGTATGAAAAAAAAAAAAAAAAAAACAATCGAAACTTTTTATGTCGATCGTCACGATCAGAAGCTAATAGAAAAATAATAATAACCACGACATTAAAATCATAAACCAATTCGCTACACAAAAGCACGCGTATGTACGCATCCCAAACATATATACATCTATATATATATGTATATACGTGTACAACTGGAAGTAAAAATACAGATAAGTGATGGATTTTTTTTTTTTTTTTTCCTTTTCATTTCTTTTTGATTTCGTTGAAAGCGCCGAAGCGTCTCAGCTGCATACTATATGTATGTACGTAGTTTCTTACCAGTTTGACAGCACACAGCTCTTGTATTATTCAGTTATTAGAGATTGTGTATGTTAGCCTTTAGGCGCCACTACTAATTTAGGTTAAGATACGCATACAAACACACAAACACACAAACACATATATATATATATATATA